GTTCAACAGCTTAGCAGACTCACTCTACAGTGTGTTTTGTGCTAAGAGCTCAACAAAAGAGTTATGGAAATCTCTAGACAAAAAGTACAAGACTAAGGACGCTGGGGCAAAGAAATTTGTGTTTGGCCGATTCTTGGACTTTAAAATAACAGATTTAAAAACTGTAATAAGCTAAGTCTAGGAGTTCCAAGTGATCTTGCATGAAATTCATACTGAGGGGATGCCTTTGAACGAGTCATTCCAAGTTGCTGTGATCATTGAGAAACTTCCCAATGGTTGGAAGGACTTCAAGAACTACTAAAAGCACAAGCGCAAGGAAATGTCAGTTAAAAACTTAATTATTTGACTCCGAATTGAGGAGGATAATAGAAAGAGGGGAGGGAGTACCTCCTCAGTGAAAGCCAATGTCATTGAGCATGGCAGATCTTCTGGGGTAAGGAAGAAGCCCCCTATGAACAAGGGCTCAAAGCTGGGGCAAAGGGGTGGTGTTGCAAAGAAGTCGGCATACAAGCCGTAGGAACCTGGTTATCGGTTCTTCGAGAAGTGCTACAACTGTGGTAGCGAGACATTGGGCTAGTGACTACCGCAAGCAAAAGAAGCCATACAAGGCCAAACCTTGTGCTCACATGGAAAATAAGTAAGAGCACTCCCATGATGAGAAAGACATGCACTTGTTTGTCATTGTCTCTGAGGTGAATTTGGTGGGTTTAAACCCAAGAGAATAGTGGATTGATACTGGGGCTACACGCCACATTTACTCTGAGAAGAAGTTGTTTACAACTTTTGAGCCAGTTACAAATCGTGAGAAGTTGTTTATGGGAAACTCTGCTACCTCCATTGTTGAGAGGAAAGGAAAGGCGGTCCTGAAGTTGACCGAAGGAAAGGAGCTGATCTTGAACAAAGTCTTGTATGTTTCGAGCATTCGTAAGAATCTTATCTCAGGGTCTCTTCTCAGCAAACATGGTTTTCTCATGGTCTTCAAGTCAGACAAGGTCATTCTGACCAAAAGCGGAGTGTATGTAGGTAAGAGATATATGTTCGGGGGTATGTTCAAACTCAATGTAATGATTATTATCCCAAAGATGAATAAAACTGCATCTTTTTTTGCTTATATGCTTGGGTCTTCCAATTTGTAGTATGGTAGACTAGGACATGTGAACTTTGAATCTTTACGTAGATTAATCAAGTTAGATCACATACCATCTTTTAAGATTAATCCAAAACACAAGTGTGAAACTTGTGTTGAAGCGAAGTTAACAAAATCTTTGTTTTATTCTATTGAAAGAAGTTCAGAGCCGTTGGACTTAGTGCATAGGGATATGTGTGACTTAAAATTTATACAATCACGTGGTGACAATAAGTACTTCATCACTTTTGTTGATACTTGCACTAAGTATTGTTATGTCTATTTGCTCAAAAGCAAAGATGAGGCTATTGACAAATTTGTTCTTTATAAGAATGAAGTTGAGAATCAATTATGCCGCAAGATTAAAGCTTTAAGAAGTGATCGTGGTAGTGAGTATGAATCACCGTTTATTGAGATTTGTGCTTAATCCGAAATTATCTACCAAACCACGGCACCTTATTCTCCTCAGTCAGATGGGATTACTGAGCAGAAGAATAGGACGCTAAAGGAAATGATGAATGTAATGTTGATAAGTTCTGGATTGCCACAGAACATGTGGGGTAAAACAATTCTCTCCACGAATTATATTCTGAATAAAGTACCCCAGAAGAAGGTAGGCAAGTCATTGGATGAGTTACGGAAAGGCGTTAGGCCTTCTTATAAATTCTTACGAATGTAGGGGTGTCTTGCAAAAATGGCGATACCTACACCCAAACGGGTTAGGATAGGCCCGAAATCCGTAGATTGTATATTCATTGGTTATGCACATAATAATAGTGCATATCGGTGTCTAGTACATAAGTCTGAAATTTCAGACATGCATAGGAATACTATCATGGAGTCAAGGAATGCATGTTTCTTTGAAGACAGTTTTCCTTGCCGAACGCAAGAAGGGGTTCTGAAATCTTTGGAGCAATTTGATGAGCTTGCTAGTGATGATGATCATTTTGATGATCAAATTAAGGTTTTAGATGAGCCTAGAAGGAGTAAAAAGGCTAGGATGTCCAAGTTTTTTGGTCCAGACTTCTTGACTTATATGGTTGAGAACGAACCTCAAATTTTCCACAAAGCTGTGACTTCTCCGGAGAGTCCTTTGTGGAAAGAAGCGATCAAAAGTGAGATTAACTCCATCTTACAGAACCACACTTGGGAGTTAGTGAATTTACCTCCAAGTAGTAAGCCTTTAGACTACAAGTGGATTTTTTAAAGAAAAATGAAGGCCGATGGGTCAATTGATAAGTATAAGGCTAGGCTCGTTATCAAAGCGTACAAGTAACGAGAAAGCCTGGATTACTTTGATACGTACTCACCTGTAACTAGGATAACATCCATTCGCATAATGATTGCGATAGCAGCTTTACGCAATCTGGAGATACACTAGATGAATGTAAAGACAGCTTTCTTAAATCGGGATTTGAATGAAAAAATCTACATGGAGCAACCTGAAGGGTTTTCAGCTCCAGGGCAAAGCAAGAAAGTCTATAAACTTGTCAAATCATTGCATCCCTACAAAGTCGCATTGATCGGATATAGATAGCCACTTGATCATATCATACTTGTGTTAATGATAAGTACGATTTTTAAAATAAATTATTTATATAAATGTGATATGATCAAGTGACTATCGATATCTAACCAACATGATTTTTACAAAAATGATGTACTCGACAAGACCTACATATTGAACAATTTAGATTATCGATACGGATTCTGTATAGGCCTACAGAGACCTAACAACACCCTCCAGTTGGGATCCTAACTTGGAAATCTTCCAAGCAAACGTGTATATCTAGATCAATGATGAAATCAGAGTTTATTTCTTTAGATAAAGCAACGGAAAAAGTTGAATGGGTTCGTCATTTCATTGAAAATATCCCACGTTGGTCTAAACCTGTGCCATCTATTTGTATTCATTATGATAGTCAATCTACAATTGGTAGGGCACAGAGTAATATGTATAATGAAAAGTCTAGACATATCCGTCTTAGACATAATTTCATACGACAACTACTCTCGAATGGAGTTGTCTCTATAGACTATGTAAAGTCTAAAAACAACATTGCGGATCCACTAACCAAAGGGTTAAATCGAGTGTTAGTCAAGACGTCGTCAAAAGGAATGGGGTTGAGGCTTTTGGAAGTTACTGGAATGGAAACCCAACCTAGTTGACTGGAAATCCCAAGATCTAAGTTCAATGGGACAACCTAATTGCGTGTAACAATGGTATGTCACTATGGGGGTAAAACCCTCCAGCCATTCCTTTAAGCAGTGATACTTGCGGGGGTGAAGGTTAAGCAAAATTTTTAGTGCTTCTTATGTATTGAGGATTCAAACAAGGTATAACAGGATACTTTGAAGAGTCACCTATGTGAGTGTGAAGTGGGGCCACTTCTAGAAGAATTGGGAAGGCCAAAATTCTTTGAAGCCACTCGCTAAACCAGGCTAGTGCTCACGGCAATACAAGGCATACCAGTGAGAACAGAATGGTGGTAGGAATAATTCTCGTGTGAGATCTATTGTCTTAGTTTACATAAATGGCAGAGCAGTTCAAGATGTCATATTCACTTATCAACCAGTAAACTCAGTAGGTTTTCACTGGGAGAGGTTCAAAATCAAAAGTTACCTTCTCTAATATCGGGGTTAGTCCGTTATACTCTCTCTCTGAGTCATTTTTGTTGAACAGTGTCCGTTTGTTGAGTCATTTCGGTTAATTTTTATTCATGTGGGGGATTGCTAGAAAAAATGAGTTTTTGGTGACTTTAATTAAATATTAAAGTAGACCCCAACCATTTATTGTGATGGATCCAAGTGGATCTAGATACTTTGCAATAAGATCTTTACATCACAAAAAGAATGGTAAAAAACCATTGAGAATTAAATAAGAAATTGCCTCATGAAGTTAACTTCATGAAAGAGGTAGTGGGATTAGTGTATATAATATATTTGTAACTGCTGCAATATTGCAGAAGTTATTGATGCATTAATGACAAACCATAAAGGTAGGTTAATGGTGCATTAGTGACTAGCCATAAAGGTTTGAGGCACCTCCTCTATATATGTATAAATTGAGACCCTCCTGTCTAGTCTCAACACAGAAATTTTTGCTTCCATTTTACAAGTTAGTTTGCCAGAAAGTTTCTATAGTGAGAGAGTGCTGCCACGGTTTTTGTTCGCTAAGCTAGACAGAGAATGCTTCTGCCGTAGCTGGTTTTTGACCGTCGTATCTTAGAAGACAGACGCCAAAATTCCTCAAGCACTCAACCTATGAGATAGCGAAAATTTGTTTTAAGGAAACTGCTACCGTGCAAGCTTCGGTTTGCTTTCTTTACCATTTTAATCTATTGGGTATTTCTGTTGTAATTTAGTTATAATTCTTAGCATGTGTTCTTCATATATAATTTTGATTTATTCATGAATCTATTTATTTAATTTCACAATTTGGACAACAGTAATGACATGTCATTTGACATGTAATTTTTTAGATCTACATTTGACATGTAGTTGTTAATATAAAATTTTGGTCAATAGAATCATGGGGCTCTAATCTAGTTGGTTAATTTTTTGGTCACCAAGTTTATTCTAAAAAGGAAATCTTACGTTTCACTCTTAGGAGTGAAATGGGAGTGCAAAATTTTCTTATAAGATGTATGGGTGTCAGTTTAACTCCGTCGAGATACTAATCTAATAATTAATTATTAACTTTATCCGATAAAAAATATATAATTATTTGGATATTGGAAATATCTATAAGAGAATTATAGATAAAAGGTTCATCTCGAGCTCCAATCAATTAATAATAATAAATAAATTTTTACTTTTTTTTTTTTTTTAAACAGCCAACAGAGAATTATATTAATGAAGAACAAGCAAATACAATGAAAGAGCCCCCCAGTTGGTAAGTCACCAGTCCAAGGGAAAGCAGAACACAAACACCAGCCCAAGAAAAACCAGCTGCAAATCCAAACAGAGATTATGCAGAACAGGAATAAGCAAAAAAGAACAGAAAAAAACCAGAAGCAAAAGCCACCAACCCCCCAAACTTGACCTTCCATCATTGGGACCCCCACCAATGAACTTTACAAGACCAAAGTAACCAAACACAAAACCAGAACAGAGGGTTATAAGCAAACAGCATCTTACTTGCCTCTAATACAGCATCTTACTTGCTTAAGATTAACTAGAAAATCCTGCACAGAAAAAAAAGTGCTTAGAGAACCTTGGTTTCAGCCATAAAGCAATTCTCACCTTAATCACTTCACACAACTCCTCCAAGTTTGGAGCAGATGCCTTAAACACTATAGCATTCCTGTGCTGCCAAAGAGACCAAAGCACAACCAGAGGCACTCCTCTCCAGATCTTCCTCTCCTGACTCCTAAACCATTGTCCTTCCCACCATAATAAGACTCCATCAACAGATTCAGGTAGAGCCCCCACAAAATCCCACCATAGCAGCATTGCAGACCATACCTTCCAAGCAAATGGGCAGGAAATCAACACATGATTAACAGTTTCTGGGTCATCAGTGCAAAAGACACACAGAGTTGAAGCAGAGTTGTTAAGGGCACCAATTCTTTGTAAGTACACTGCAGTCTTAACCCTATTTCGCCAAGCTAACCAAGTAAAGAATTGAACTTTTGGTGGCATGTAAGGGATCCACACTAATTTAGTAGACCTTAACAAAGGGCCAATTGAAGCCAGCAAACCTGTGTAAGCAGAGCAGACAGAGAATACCCCAGATGATGTTGCATTCCATACTGGACAATCAGTTTGATCTGGAACAGGACTAGGTGCTGTTGCCAGGAAGTTTCTGAGTCTAAAAACCTCACTAACCTCCCATTCATACAGCCTCCTTCTGAACTGACACACCCAATTACCTTCAACAACCTTTTGGTCATGTATTGATCTAAGTGACTCTTCTTTATTCACCACCAACCTATACAAACCCGGAGATTCCTCTCTAAGACTTGTCCTATTCCACCATTTGTCCACCCAGAATCTAATATTATTCCCATCCCCAATCTTAAGCTGAAAATTATTGATGTAGTACTCCAAGAGGGTATGATTTAACTCTACAATGGTAACTATACCTTTCCATACACTAGACATTCTACTAGTGGTAGAAGTGGAAGGAATCCAATCCCTGAAATCCACTTTATACTTACTGCAAACAACTCTTCTCCACAAGGCTTCCTTTTCATTCCTAAATCTCCACCACCATTTGATTAGTAAACAAGAATTTACCACCCTCACTCTTCTCAGCCCCAAACCCCCTTGCTCCAAGCTTTTGGTCAGCTCCTCCCATTTGACCATATGCACCTTTCTTCTAACTTCTGTTCCTCCCCAGAGAAATGAGGCTTGCAATCTCTCCAAAGTTTTAGCTACCACATCCGGCATTTTGAACAAGGACATATAATACACGGGTAAAGATGCAAGAGCAGATTTAATTAGAGTGAGTCTACCAGCATGAGACAGAGTCTTCCTCTTCCAACTAGCAAGTCTGCTTCTCATTTTCTCCACCACTGGTTTCCAGGTTGCTTTACAACTGGGATTAGCCCCCAAGGGCAGCCCTAAATACTGCACAGGCAGCTTTTTGGTCTTGCAGTTTAAGATACCAGCAAATCTGCCCAACAAACCCTCAACTACACCCACTCCACAAACCTGACTTTTATGGTAATTAATTCTCAACCTAGACATAACCTCAAAGCACCTTAATATCCTCTTTAGGTTACTTTCACACAACAATAAGGAGTCATCAGCAAATTGCAAATGAGACAACACCACATCCCCAACCCCTATTTTCACCCCTTTAATAATGCCTAGCTGGAATGCCCTATTTAATAGCACATTCAATCCCTCAGCCACCAAGTTAAACAAGAAAGGAGACAATGGATCTCCTTGTTTAAGACCCCTCTGCAGACGAAACTCATTAGTAGGAGAGCCATTGACCAGGACAGAAACACGAGCTGTGGTAACACACTCCATAATCCATTCTGACCATCTAACACCAAACCCAAAATTTAGAAGCATTGAGTACAGAAAACCTAATTTACTGAGTCATAAGCCTTTCCAAGTCAATTTTAATTAACACTTCCTTCTTTTTAGCCTTCTTCCACCCATCCACCACTTCATTTGCAATAAGTACACCATCAAGAATATTTCTCCCCCCGAGAAAAGTTGATTGGGTTTCACTAATTACACTAGGAAGCACAGCTTTTAGCCTTGCAGACAAAACCTTGGCTAAGATTTTAAACACTGAACCAACCAGGCTTATGGGCCTATAATCAGATAAGTCCACAGGGTTCTCCTTTTTAGGGACCAAGGTGATAAAGGAGTTATTTAATTCCTTTACCAATCTACCAATTTTATGAAAATCCTTCATAAAATTAATCGCATCCCCTTTCATCACCTTCCAGAATTTTTGAAAGCAAAGCATGTTGAAAAAAATAAATAAATTTTTACTTACTGGTATGATTTTTTTTTCCCCCCTCTCTTCAGTATGGTTCAAAGGGCATTGAAATATTTAAAGAAAAAAGTGAGATAGAAAGCAAAAACGAAAGACAAAGAGAACAAATGGACGAAAGATTTTAATGAAAAATATAACAACTTAGCTAATTGACTCTCATTATACATGGACGATCGACATCATTACGTATCATAGTTTTTTGGGCAAGAAAATCATACATTATTTAACCCCAAGGAAAAAAAAGATAGAGAATCATAGATTGCAAAAATTACTGAAGGAAACTGGAAAGATCGTATCACAGTTTTTTTGGCAAGATAATCAAAAATAGAGAAAAAATTTATTAAAGGCAATTTATAAAGATAGAAAAAGAAAGAGCAATAATTCAGCAACCAAATTTAATGTTTGCACACAATCAATCACCCATGTGAATTGAAAAGAAAAAAAAAATTAAACAAAAATTTGGCTGTGAATTAATAAAATTCCCTTTTTCGAAGGAAATCTTCAAAACTTTCCAAAGTTAATAATAATGGTGACTGGTGGTGGGCATTGTTAAAAAGGGCCTCGCAGTAGCAGTAGGGGCACATTCCACCAATTCTCTCTCTCTATCTATCTCTCTCTCTCTCTCTAGCTTCTTTTTTTTTCTATTTTAATTTCTTCTGCACTAAATATATTCTCTCTAGTGTGTGAGAGATGGGTTTGGGGAAGAAACTAGTGATAATGTTGGTGATGGTGGTGAGTGTTTGTGGGGTGTCAAAGGGTGCAGTGTATAAGGTTGGGGACTCAGCTGGATGGACAAACACTGGACATGTTGATTACAAGGCTTGGTCCGCTGCTAAGCTCTTCCGTGTCGGCGACACCATTTGTTCGTTTCTCTTTCTCTCTTGTTATTCTATAATATTTTAATTTGTTTTTTGTCCCATAATATATTTTAAAATATTATTACCACAAATTTTTTCATAAAATTTCTTTGAGTTCTTCTGGGACTTTATGTTCCTTTCTTGATCATTCTTTCTTTATTTTCTCTATTAAGGAGTTGACATCAAATATGTACTGTAATTATCTTGGTACAAAATTTTACTAATGAAACTTTATATATTATGGGAATTTTTTCCTATATGTTAAATAGTTTTTCATGTATTTTGGTGGATTCAATTTACTTTATGACTATATAATATTGAAATTTTTACTTGATTTTTTACCCATTATATAGTTCATCATATATTATGGTGGATTGTATTAATTTTAAAATGTAACGAATGCTATATGTGTAAACAAGTACTTTATTATTAAAAGTTGAAAAAAATGATTAAATATATTTGGAAACAAGTATTATTTTCATAATATTTTGTCGTATCACATGCATCAATTGACTGCAAAGACCTATGCTTATTCTTGTGCGAGAAATTTTGCATTTTTTCCTTGATTTGCATTATTATTGATGTAGTGTTTGAGTACAACAAGCAATTTCACAACGTGATAAGAGTAACCCACAAGAATTTCAATGCATGCAATGCCACGGCTCCTTACTTCACCCTCAACAGCGGCAACGACTCCTTCACCATCACTAGAGGCGGCCATTTCTACTTCATCTGCAGCCTTCCCGGCCACTGTGAAGCCGGCCAAAAGGTCGATGTCCGTGTTCCTAAAACCACCAACACTACCGCTCCGCATCCAACTTCAAGTCCTGCTCCTGCTCCTCACCAGACGCCACAATCTCCGCCATTGCCATCACCATCACTGTCACCATCACCGCCAGTGCTGCTGTCACCAGTACCTGCACCGAATGTGCCTGCCCCACAGAACAGTGCCTCTTCTCTAAGCAAAGTTTGGTTGTCCATTGTGGTTTTATCATTTTCTGTTTCTGGTTTTGCTTATTAGGAATGTTTCTCTGATTCGTGTTTCAAAATCAATCGTCTGTTTGGGAACTTTTTTTTTTTTTGGGTATGAATGTTATGGTTTTATTTAGATATTATTGTGTGATGTTGAATGTGTTAGGCTCGTTTGGTCTTTTTGGATGATATTTTTTCTCATGTTACATCTTAATTTATGGTGAAACAATATTATTCATTGCGTGATGTGTATGATCAGGTTTTTTTTTTTTTTTTTTGTGAGTTTTAAAAACTTGTGTTTTTGGAAAGAAAAAAAAATCATAATCTAATTCATTGTAAAAAAAATTAAAATTATTTTCATATGATTTTTTTAGAATATAAATAATTTTAATATGTTTTTTATGTTTTTTTATCAAATTAGTCCCTAATTTTCCAAACAAGTTTCTTAAAATTCAATTGAGCATAATTTGTGATGAATTCAATACGATTAACAAATCAAGTGAGGAAACTAAATTATGGCCATGACATGTTGCTCGGATTTTGATTTCTTTAGACTATGTTTATATTTAAAATTTGAGAAGAGATTTGTGAAATAAAAAAAATTTAAAAAAAGTTACTTTATATATTTATTGACTTTTCCCTTTACTTAATTTTAAAATATTTTAAAATCTAAGTTCCAAACATAACTGTAATTATCAGCACTCAAGGAGAATTAATCCAATACCCCCCCCCAAAAAAAAAAATCAAAAATTACTAGATAAAAAAACAATATTCAAAAATTACTAGATGGCGTTGAAAAGAAAATTGAATTCTTAAACCTTTGTTAAAACTTATGGGTAAATTATAAATAGAGAGATTTGGTGATAGATCTCTTACTGTTTAATTTGTCTTTCAAAAGAATAAGAATTATATAGATACTTTCAAAACGGGAGCTTCTATTTGCACACACTCAATCCTCTATTTGCACATCCTTTTTAGTTTACATACCTAAAAAAATAAAAAATAAAATATTTACTCATTATACACACTTTTATTCCAATTATATCCCCATAAACACAACTTCCCAACACTCCTAATCCACACACCTCCACACGAACAACCACCTCGCTAGCGGCGATGCAATACCATCATTACCACCTCCCTTCCAGTCGCCATTCCACCCCTTCCTCCACCCACTACTGCGACCCCCATCTCATCCTCCCTCTCTCTCTCTCTCTCTCTCTCTCTCTCTCGCAAAAAGAGGGCTTCAGATGTTGATGGTCTAACTAATGTGTTTTGTTCGGATGTTGATGGTCAAACCAAATTCATTGGTTCGATGGTTGATTTCCGAATAGAGGCTATTCTTTCGATACTGTTATCCGAATGGTAAGAAAATAAGTCTTCTTTCTAGATCTAGGTTTTCCTCTCTCTTTCTCTCTCTCTCTTTCTCTTTGTGTGTGCAGAATTGAGGGTCACGAAGGAGTAGGAGTTGCGGCGGCAGTGGTGTTGTGTTCCAAAGTAAGGGGTTACGGCGGTGGTAGGAAGCCCATAAACACAACTTCCCAACACTCCTAATCCACACACCTTCCACACCAACAACCACCTCGCTGGTGGCGATGCAATACCATCGTTACCACCTCCCTTCCAGTCGCCATTCCACCCCTTCCACCACCAACTACCGCGACCCCCATTTCATCCTCTCTCTCTCTCTCTCTCTCTCGCAAAAAGGGGGCTTCGGACTTTGATGGTCTAACTAATGTGTTTTGTTCGGATGTTGATGGTCAAACCAAATTCATTGGTTCGATGATTGATTTCCGAATAGAGGCTATTCTTTCGATACTGTTATCTGAATGGTAAGAAAATAAGTCTTCCTTCTAGATCTAGGTTTTCCTCTCTCTTTCTCTCTCTCTCTTTCTCTTTGTGTGTGCAGAATTGAGGGTCACGAAGGAGTAGGAGCTGCGGCGGCAGTAGTGTTGTGTTCCAAAGTGAGGGGTTACGGAAGTGGTAGGAAGGGTGAGTGAGCGATGAACGATGGAGTGAGGCGGGGTGGGGCTTCGATTCGAAAAGAGGGAGACTAAAGGGAGGGACTATGTTGAGGAAGGAGATGACCGAAGGGTGAGGGACTGTGTTGGGTATTAGGGTTAGGGTTTTGGTTGAAGAAAAAAGGGATATTTTGGTAATTTTATTTTAGGATAAAAATGTAATAAAAAAAATATCATTAAGTGTGTGAGAAAAGGGAAAGTGGTGTGCACAAATAGAAGATTCCTTTCAAAACCTCCTAATATTTTAAAACTTATTTCTTTTACTATATTACCCTCATATCTATCAGCTCTCCTATTAAACCATTCTTACAGTGTATTTCAGAGTAATCAGAGTAAAATTTACTGTGATTCAAAGTAAAATTTTATATCGTTAAGCAAATCAACATGTTTTTAACCAGAGTAAAATTTTACTATTACAAAAAATAAAATACATACTAAATGAATGAACCAGAGTCAAATTTTACTCTAAGTTCTATTAACAAATAATAATAAATAAATAAATAAGCCAATTGGAAGCAACAAGGCGACATCTACAGCTCATAATCATGTTTTCCATATCTATTACAATCTATCTCATTTTCATCAAGATCAACACACACAAAAAAAATAAATAAATAAATGGTATCTGTTGTAATATGTTTCTTCATCTACATCATCATCAACAACAATACAACAACAACAACAAATAAAATGAAAAAAAGAAAAAGGGTATCTGTTGGGTAAATTACAATGACACCCCTCATATTTTAAAAATTACAATCCCCTCTCTAAGGTTTAAAGTAGCATTACCAATTGCCCCCTCGGTTAGTATTAGCTGGAAAAAAAATTCATTAAAAAAAAATTAATTGAAAAAAAAAATTTGTTAGTCAAATTTTTAAATTTTTGTTTAAAAACCAACGTAAACTCATTTTTTGAATTTACGCTTTTTTCTCAAATTTACAAACTGAGACAACCATTTATAAATTAAAAAAATTATCAAACAAGTTTTTATGACAGTTTTTTAAATTTTTGTAAATATAAATTGAAAACTGAAAACGAAATGGTTACCAAACAGGTCTCAGATGGTAAAAATGTCATAAAATTAACAAATAATTAAATAAGTTACTAACGTAAGAAATGACTTATCAAAAGATTCTTAGGCTATGTATGGTTTGATTTTTAAAAAAAAATTAAAAAATTAAAAATTAATTTGGTTAAGAAATAAAAAATAAAAAAATATATTTTTTAAACGAAATGAAAATTATTTTTTATTTTTTGTTTCTTAACTAAATTAATTTTTAATTTTTAAAAAACATTTCTAAAAATCAAACAATACATAGCCTAAGAATCTTTTAATAAGTTATTTCTTATGTTGGTAACTTATTTAATTATTTGTTAATTTTACGACATTTTTACCATCTGAAACCTGTTTGGTAACCATATCGTTTTCAGTTTTAATTTATATTTACAAAAATTTTAAAAACTGTCATAAAAACTTGTTTGATAATTTTTTTGATTTATAAATAATTGTCTCAGTTTATAAATTTGAGGAAAAAACATAAATTCAAAAAATGAGTTTACGTTGGTTTTTAAATAAAAATTTAAAAATTTTATTAACAAATTTTTTTTTTCAATTAATTTTTTTCCGATGAATTTTTTTTTTTCAACTAATACTAACCAAGGAGGCAATTGGTAATATTACTTTAAACCTTAGGGAGGGAATGTTATTTCTAAAATGTGAGGGGTGTCAATGTAATTTACCCAATGAGGGTAAAATTGGTATTTAAAAAAATTAAAAGGGCTGAGGGAGAATCTGTAATGAAACTTTAAACCTCAAGAGGGAGATGTAATTTTCAAAAGGTGATAGGAGGAACTGTAATTAATATAAACCTCGGGGAGGTGTCAGTGTAATTTACTCAAAGAAAAAAAAAACCATGTTATTATCCACATCTAGTGAAGGCTAACAACAACTTAGATATATGTTATTGATCTAAGAGATTTCAAGGGAGAAAAACGAAGTCTATGTAGTGGTCAAGCAAAAGTTCAAAGAATCTGAAATAAATTATGTGAAGAAGCCCAAAATCATAAAATCAAATGCACATATATTTACATATATACATAATTTTGTTGTATAATGTGTATGAGCTCTAATGAAATCGGTACTGAAGCTTTATCTGGCCCTAATAGAGAGAGAGAGAGAGAGAGAGAGAGAGAGAGAGCTGTGAATCAAAGGAGATTCGAGTATCAATGGGAGCTTTCTGCGATCTATTCACAATCTCAGATCGAGGATGAAGACGTCGTATGTCGATCTGTGTAGATCTGAGATTTGTGTCGATCTCTCTAATCGATCTGCAATGGTAGAGAATCTATCGATCAGCTACTCAATATTGTCTCTCTCCTTTTACTTTGCCCTAGGTTGCATTTTAGTTAATGATTTTGCTTCGAATTTCGTTGTGTACTGAGGTTGATTATGAGGAAAAAGACGAAGAAAGTGGAAAGAGAATGGACGGACAATGTGAGAAGATTCAGTTGAGGATTATAATAGTCTGATAAAATATTTAAATAATAAATTTTGTCATTTATGCAAGACTTTATAATTATGAAGGGGTTTTGAAAGTATAATTTTTTTTCTTAGTCCTTTTAACAATGAAAGGAAGGTACGGGGGTTTATAGCCAAATTTCTCTTATAAATACACCTTTTGAGGTTTGCTTAAAATACAGATTGTTTCTTGTAATTTGGAAAATTACAAATGCTCTCTTGTCAAAAAAATTTATTTAACAGAATTAATTAAAAAAATGAAATTCGTGATTGCTCTCTTATACAATAATAAAATTACTTAAATTATTAATTGAAATATTTTTCTAACATCATTAAAAATTATTAATTGATTTAATGATTCATTGATAAAAAGGACGATTTGTATGAAATTATAAATCTCAGGGAGTGGAATGTAATTTCCAGAACCATAGGGAGCGATTCATATTTTAATCAAACCTCTAAGAATGTATTTGTAATTTATCCTAAACTTATTAATAATAATTGAAGGGAAATGATTTGCAAAAAAATATAAATATACAAATAATTAACGTGAATAGTGTGGCAGTAGCATTTTGAAAACTGTAAGTAATTTTAATAAGCTTTTTTATTTGAAATTAATAGATACATATCATCTCATTTGTGTAAATTTTTTGTACAAATATATATATATTTTTTATATATCATCACTCATAATTAAATTACTAAACAAAATGAGGATAAAAACGGACTACAATAAATTTAAAGGATATTTAGTTTACCATCCCTCTCCAACTTTTAATAATGAGAGAGGTCCACAATATATTTTTTTTTTTGTAGCCTAAGATCCCTCACACCCACACCTACACCCATATATCACACCCTCTCTCTCTCTCTCTCTCTCTCTCTCTCTCCCTCTCCCTCTCCCTCTCCCTTTTTAGGGTTTCAGATCTCTGCACAACAATCATTTCTCTCTCATCCTCTACCACCACTGTCGCCGGAGATCCAAAAGTCATCAGAGCCTGCTCAACTTGTTCGGACGTCGAGCCATTGTAGTTCAGGCATGTTGGATCGTGATCGGTCTCCGATGAATCAACGTCACTAACCACACCGTCACTTAGGAATCACCTTCAATTTGATCTAAGTTACAAAATCCAGGTCTTCCTCTGCATCATCTCCATGGCATATAGAATCTGAATCATCCTTTGTTAGGATGATTATTGCTTGATTCTCTTTAGTTTTTTTAGTTTTGAACCCGTCAGCAAGAAATTTCAAGAATTGAGTATTAGCAAAATCAACATCTTCCAACAAAACAACAATTTTTTCATGATCACTTAAAGCCCTTTCTAATTTTCCTATTTGCTAATTTTCCAATAAGATTTGAGAACTGACAATAAGAATGGCAATTTGAAACCGGCCCGACGGGGACCCGACCCCCCAACCCCGATTAGAGCGGTTTTTTCCCGAAAAATATCCTTTACGGGCCGGGGATGGTACTTAAAAATAAATCTTCGATGATTTTCGGGGCGAGGACGGTGATATGTTTTTCACCCCCGGCCCCGACCCCGTCTCCGTTAGCCCCCCGAATCAAACTTACTATATATATACCCCTTAATATATAACCCTCTATATAATGGAACTATTATGTTCTTTCTCTCTCTTTCTCTCTCTCTCTCTCTTCCCTCTACACTCTCTCACTCTCGCACCTCTTCTCTCCGCCTCCTCAACGTAGCTGTCACTAGCGACGCCGGAGTCGCTGTCCACATCGCCGTCATCTCCGCCGTTCGCCTCTTCCTCAGCACAGCCTTCACCTTCGTCGACTCCACCGTTCGCTCTATCGTCGCAGTTACACAGAGATCTCAGATCTCAGATCTATCTCCTCCGTCGTCGCTGCCGAGCAGCCGATCTCCTCCGTCGTCCTCTCTCTCTGTGTATACATGTACGTGTGTGTCTATGTGTGTATGTATAATGTATGTGTGTGCTCTGTGTGAATGTGTACATGTGAGTATGTATGTATGTATGTATGTATATATGTATGTATGTATTTATGTATGATTTTTTGAGGATGTTGCTGATGATGTTGAAAGTTGTTGATGGTGCTGAATGTTGAAACAAATTTGGATCGGGGAACTTTCGGGGTCAGGAAAACCCGATCCTCGTTGGGGGCGGGGACGGGAACCATGGTAGGTTCCCCGTTGGGGATCGAGGCCGGGGACGGGAAAGTTTTGGCCATCGGGGATCGGGGACGGGAGTCCTATTTGCTAATTTTCCAATAAGATTTGAGAACTGACAATAAGAATGGCAATTTGAAACCGGCCCGACGGGGACCCGACCCCCCGACCCCGATTAGAGCGGTTTTTTCCCGAAAAATATCCTTTACGGGCCGGGGATGGTACTTAAAAATAAATCTTCGATGATTTTCGGGCCGAGGACGGTGATATGTTTTTCACCCCGGCCCCGACCCCGTCTCCGTTAGCCCCCGAATCAAACTTACTATATATATACCCCTTAATATATAACCCTCTATATAATGGAACTATTATGTTCTTTCTCTCTCTTTCTCTCTCTCTCTCTCTTCCCTCTACACTCTCTCACTCTCGCACCTCTTCTCTCCGCCTCCTCAACGTAGCCATCACTAGCGACGCCGGAGTCGCTGTCCACATCGCCGTCATCTCCGCCGTTCGCCTCCTCCTCAGCACAGCCTTCACCTTCGTCGACTCCACCGTTCGCTCTATCGTCGCAGTTACACAGAGATCTCAGATCTCAGATCTATCTCCGCCGTCGTCGCTGCCGAGCAGCCGATCTCCTCTGTCGTCCTCGCTCTCTGTGTATACATGTATGTGTGTGTCTATGTGTGTATGTATAATGTATGTGTGTGCTCTGTGTGAATGTGTACATGTGAGTATGTATGTATGTATGTATGTATATATGTATGTATGTATTTATGTATGATTTTTTGAGGATGTTGCTGATGATGTTGAAAGTTGTTGATGGTGCTGAATGTTGAAACAAATTTGGATCGGGGAACTTTCGGGGTCAGGAAAACCCGATCCTCGTTGGGGGCGGGGACGGGAACCATGGTAGGTTCCCCGTTGGGGATCGAGGCCGGGGACGGGAAAGTTTTGGCCATCGGGGATCGGGGACGGGAGATGGGATCCTCGGCCCTGCCCTGCCCCGTTGCCATTCCTACTTGACAATTACCAAGCATGATATTGACTTCCTTGCCTTGTGAAGTATTTTGGAGAGAATCAAAGTTTGGGTGTTCCACAGATTGTTGTGAAAAAAAAAGAAAGAAAAGAAATGGTGGTGTGAAAATAAGGTGTGAATGGGTGAAGAAAAAATAATCAACTTGCTTGTTTTTGGTTTTCTAAATATACTTTTTAGGAAATTTTACTTTCTTATTTTTCGTGTTTTTTTTATTAAATTTTTTTAATATTTTAAGCAATTTTTTTAATTTTTAGACACAGCTAACATAAATACACATAAAAAGTATAATTTTTGTAAAAACAATCTTTTAAAAATTCACTAAATACCAAAAATACAAAAATACAAAAAAAAATTACTAGAATTCAGTATATTTATGTATTTATTAATTTTTTAAAATATTTTTTTACAATTTTTTTACTTTTTAGATACATCTAAGTAAGGTGCATCTAAAAAAGTTTTAAAAAATGCTTAAAATTTTAAAAATATTCACTAAAAACAAAAAAACATGAAAAACAAAAAACTCAATTTTTAAAAAATTTAATCTAAAAAACTCAAACCAAACACAAACAATATGATTTTTTATTTTGATTTTGATTTGCTCATATCTCATTATGGTGACTGATTTATGAGTATTGTACTCAATTTGACTACTCAATGGACAAACTCAGATTCAAGCATAAATTTGAATCTGAGCATTTTCAATTCTTAATCTCTTTTTGTGTATGTATTTATTGAAGGTTGTCTAAAATTTATCTGTGAAAAGATACAATTATCTCTGGTTTGGTTAACAGACAGAGAAAATTATGAGCAAATCAAAAAAAATTGATTGAAACATAGAGAAAAGTATAAATCACATAGAAATTTGTGAGCAAATCAGAGAAAATTCAACCCACAAAAATTTCAAAACGCAAAGAAATTTTAAAATTCTTCTAGTTTGCTCAATTTCTATGATTTTCTTAGTGTTTTGAAATTTTATCTGTGTTTTAAATCATAGAAATTGAGCAAACTAGATAAATTTTGATATTTTCTCCGTATTTTGAAATTTCTCTAGTTTGAAATTTTTTAAGGCGAAATTTCTCTAAAAAAATGTTGAGAAACCACAACTGCTATGAAAATATTATGTCTTTTATATTATAAAATATCTTAATACCATAGACCTTAAAAAAAGTTTTGCTAAATTTAATCATTAAAATGGATTGAATAAAGAGATATTGGAGTTTTTTTTTTAAAATATTTAATTTTTTGTGTGGAGTTTGAAGGGTATGGTTTTCCATATTCATACTCTTCAAAAAGTCACTTGTTTAACAATGTGAACAACGTTTGGAAATTATTCACCCAAAAAAAAAAAAAAAAATGTTTGGAAATCGTTTTATAATTTTTAAATAAATAAATAAATAATCTTTATATTTCTAATTCTTCCTCAATTTCTTAAAAATGGGTTAAAAATATAAAAGTCATTTTGAGGAAGAACCAAAAATGAGGTTAAACTTACATTCCCTTTTTAAAAAAATTTATTATTTAGATATTTCTGCTAGTCTAGAAATATTTTAGAAGTAATTTTTTTTATAAAAAGAAATATTCATTAAAAAAAAGGAGACATTTTCAAACTCCAAGCTTCACCAATATATTTTCTTTGTTAGCATTTAAACGAATTAACTTTTTTAAATAATAAAAAGAACTAAAAATATCATCAAAATTTGAAATGACAATTTTACCCCAACTTGGAGAACCCACCGATCCAACCCATCCAAACCGGGCGGGGCGTGAGCGGGGACGGGTTATGGTATGTTTGGTCAATTACAGGCGTTCGGGGCGGGTGGATATTCTTTTTCCGATCCGCAACCACAACCGCAACCGACCGACCAAGTATATATATATAAAACCTAATTAAACCCTCCATAGCCGACCACCGAAGCTCCCCTCTCTCGCAGTCCAGCCCCTTCTCCCTCTGCCCGACTCTCTCTCTCTCTCTCAGGTAACCCTCCCCTTACATGTATTTTCTCAACTGCATATAGATACATGCTTATATATAGATATATACACATTTACACATACATGTATTTGCATAAGCACCATGTTTTTCTTTTTACAGATTCTCTGTTCGTATTTTGGACGATCCTTCTCTAATTGATAGAACTTTGCCCTAAAGATTGATAGCTTCAATTTCTCGATATTTAGGATATTATGAGGTTTTCACAGTCAGATAGTCTTTGGTTCGATGGAATGAAATGAAATGAATGATTCCATCAAATTGTTCATTCCCATGTCTGTTAAACATATTGCAAAACGGAATAGACCATTGTAAAGGAATGACCATTCCATTCCATCTCATTTCAATCCACCAAACACAGCATTAGAGTTTTGATTTTGCCAAATTATGTCTCATAAGCTTGCTATAGGATTGTGTTTTGGACTCAACACTCAACAGAGTTTTCACCACTGGCTTTCTTGTTCTTTATTTCTACAATTGGTCCTGTTATAACATGTTTGGTAGCTTTGTGTTACTTTTGCATTCTGGTTTCAAATAGGTGGTTTTAGTTAAAGATTGGTTTTAGTTAATATTTTGTGTTTTTGTGACTTTTAGTAAGAGTTCTCATTTGTATGTTTTCTGGGAGTTGTATTTTGAAAAGATTCTTTTCTTGTCTGTTGATAGACCAGATAGACCTTTGGTCTAAAGAATATGATAGCAGCTATTTCTTGGGTCCCCAAAGGGGTCTCAAGGTCTATCCCAGCTGTGGCTGAGCCTCCTTCAAAAGAGGAAATTGAAGAGATTTTGAACAGCAGGACTTTTGAGAGAAGGTAAAAAATTTTACATCCTTACTTCTTTCAATTTAGCTGAATATTATTCTGTTGGGTAATTTTGTATACAGTATCATGGATTAAAAATACATTTTGCAACTAAATCAGTTGACTTTAGATGCCATTTGCCCCCCATTCTCCACCCATCTCTCTTGCTTCTTCTTATGATTGTAACTTGGAATGACAGAATCAGCTCTCATTGTCGTTTTAGATGTTAATTTGTGATTAGCTTCTTGACATTACTTGATGTGTTACTAAAAAAATTTAAAATAAAAATGTGAAAGGAAAATGATTATACAGAACAGAAGTGCACCTCTTGTTTGTAACCGTGTTCCCTCACCCCCTCCTGTATTCCAATATGCTGTTCTTTATACAAGGATACTATTTAGTTCCATAGACAAAGTAATTTATTGCGGTAAAAGAATGGGATTTTATGTAATTTTTGTCTAGTATATATCTATGTGTATTTCTGATTCTTTTGCAGCGAAGAGAGTGAAAATGAGGACCATGATGAAGATATGGTTGTTGATGCTGCTAAACAGGGTGATGAAGTTGCCCATGCATTAGTTGCTGCAGATGCACTTGGCAAAGCCTCCTTGAGCACGACTTCAGTTCCTTTTCAGGACATAGCAGATTCTTTGCGGGAACTAGACATGGAACACTATGATGAAGAGGATGATGGTAACCCACCTCCCGTTTTCTTATATTCTAATGGGGAATAGTTTCTTTGATTCTGTATATTTGAAGGCATGGCTTAATCTTGAAGCATTATAATTATTTGGTCAACTATCCCTTTTTTATTTATGTGCAAAAATTATCAAATGTACTTTTAAGCAAGCATGCATTTGTTTCCTGGTTGTTGTAGGTGTTGAGCTGATTGGCACGGGAATTGGTGATGCTTATTATCCAAGTAATGACATGGACCCGTATTTGAAGGATCAGAATGTAAGTTTGTTTGACCAATGCTGTACATTATTGTTTGACTTTTGTTACTTCTTTTGTTTTTGTTGAAGGAAATGGAATTCTTTGTCTTATTATTTCCTTGCCTTTTTTAGGATGATGACTCTGAAGAGTTTGAGGACATGACCATAACAGCTGAGGATGCTGTCATAGTTTGTGCTCGTAACGAAGATGATGTCAGCCATCTTGAGGCATGTAGTACTTAGTTGGAGAATATATGGATTCATTTCTCCCATCTCTTCTTATATTAGCCAACCAGTTTAATTGGTGAGCTCAATGTGTACAAATAGGTTTGGATTTATGAGGACCCTGCTGATGGTGATTCAAACATGTATGTTCACCATGATATCATCATTCCAGCTTTTCCCCTCTGCACAGCATGGCTTGATTGCCCAATTAAAGGTGGAGAAAAAGGTATGAACATACTTACATTTCTTTGTTGAAAAAAGCCTAGGAAGCACGGATACGGATACAGGATACAGATACGGATACGGATACAGGATACAGATACGGATACGATACGATACGGCGATACGACAAAATTTGAAAAACTAGGATACGGGTACGGCGGGGATACGTTGGTAAAAAATATTATTTTAATAATTTTTAGTAATGCAGTATGCATAAAAATAAAACTTAAAGCAAAAGACAACTTGATAAAGAAGAAAGATTCCTACAAAACTAAGAGTCTTCAAGGTCAATAGCTTCAACTTGTTCCCTTTCATCAGTGAATATCACAAGACCTTAGCTAAAACCAAAGCCAAAAAACCATTCTTAAATAAAAGTTTCAGCAAATATACTTTTTTAAGTCATCAATGATAGCCTAGGAAGCACGGATACGAATGTGGTGATATGGGGATGTGGATATGGCGATATGTCAAAATTTGAAAAAGTATGATACGGGTACAGCGGGGATACATTCATAATTTTTTTTTTTTTATAATTTTAATAATGTAATATGCATGAAAATAAAACTTAAAGTAAATTAATAAATAAAGAGAGGGATTCCTATTAACCTAAAAGTGCTCAAACATTCATAAAACATCCAAAACTAAAAGCAAAAACAAATGCAAATGCAAATGCAAATTAAACATCATCCTTACATGCCAACACCAAAAAAAGAATGGGAGCAGAGAGACGAAACGTGAGAGAGTGAGAAAGCGAGAGAGAAGTGAGAGAGACAACAAGGATACATCAATTTGACAAATTCTATTACTTAAGCTCTCACTATATTCCTCTTATGAAAGAACTAAACAAAATATTATAAGTAATATGTAACTTCGAGTATCCGATACTTCAAAATTAAGTATCCGATACTTCAAAATTAATAAAAAATTAATTAAGAAGTATCCGATACTTTTAAGAAGTATCCGATACGTATCCGCGAGTATCCGAGGAGTATCGGTATCCGATAAGTATCCGATACGGATACGTCACCCTTTTTGAAGTATCCGTGCTTCATAGAAAAAAGCTGCTTTTGCCCTTTGTTCTTTTTTTTTGGTTTGTCATTCTTTTTCTCTTCAAGGTTTTGGTTGATTTCCAAATTTAATGTGGTCCTATTAGCTACAATAGAACTATATATGTATTGTTTTATTTTAGAAATACAAAAGCTAATGTGTAAAGTATTGCTTCATTTTGCAAGCTTGGATTGGGACATTTTCTTCTCTTTGGATTTAACCTGGCTAAAATTATTCCTTGTGGATATTCAGTGAGATCAAATGTTGATAATTTCAGTCTTGGTAATAATCACTAGGTTATTGGAGGGGCTGAAAGTTCCCACCTGTGGAGGCACTATGTTAATTTTCTCTCGCATTTGGCTAAATTTCTGAGATACACTTGATGTAAGAAGATTGTGTGGTCTATGAAGATGCTTACTGTGGCTGCTATGGTGTTGTTGATACCATGTTCTAGTTCATAAGGGAAACTTTAATTGTGGAGGCACTTGCTTTGTCCAAGTAGCTACCTTGGATTTTCTTTGTTTATTTTATTGCTCAGGAAACAACTGTCATATCGCAGACTATCTTTTTCCAGTTACTGTTACATTTGTTTTCTTTCGAGATAATTAGATTTCCTTTTTCCCTAGGTCATATAGTTTTTGTTTGAAACTTGAGTGATATTTACTTGGATTGGATCATTTAGTTTTTTATTTGAAACTCAAGTGATCATTGTTTTTCTCATTCTTTTGTTTCTTTTCAATAAATTCATGTGTGTTTTCCGTCTCAAATGCTTTTTTCTTTTGGCAGGGAACTTCATAGCTGTAGGTTCAATGGAACCATCCATTGAAATATGGGACCTTGACATTGTATGTGCACTACGGACTTTGACCTTAGTAAAGTATAGGCTGATGAAGCTGTTGGTGGAGATGTTATTGCAAAAATTCTTATTTTTTTTATTGTTCTCAGATGGATGAAGTCCAACCATCAGTGGTGTTAGGCGGCATTTCTGAGAAAAAGAAAAAAGGAAAGGTCAGTTAGTGAATTTCCTCCCAACTCAGCACCTTTAGAATCTTGGGTTTGCTTAAGATCGCCTGCAATTTTGTGCATGCATGTTTTACTGGATATTGTTGTCAAACTTTTGTTTTGCGTCCATATTGAGCAAAATTGAGTGAATTGTAAAAATTGTAAATCATTTGACATGTGAGTTCAATAGCCCACAGACCCATTCAGGCTGTTTTGGGTGTGATATTTGGGTTTTCCCCCCTTAGCTATATGATTGGCATAACATCTCATTGGATCGTTATACTTGATTATTTGTTAAATTAATTGCTAATATCTTTCTGACATTCGTTCTTGACTTTTGATTGACATTTGTCTGGATGTCTAAAAAGATTTAAATTACATTGTATTCTATATCTAGCCAATCAAATGTCGGATCTACCACCTGCTACTTATGTTTTTTTTCTTGTTATTTTTATTTTTATCTAATAAAATGATTTTTAGTGAAGAATGCTGTTTTCACTGCCAATGTTTAACTTTTTTTTTTGTTAAGTAATGTGGATATTTATTGTCACCTTCCCTTGTAATTTCACCTTCACCGCACTTATTTTCCATGTTTCGGTTTTACCTAATACGGATTTGTCTTTTTCCTGCCACAATCCATTATGGATACTTGCTTTGTTTTAGAAATCAATCAAGTACAAGAAAGACAGCCACACTGATTCAGTACTTGGTCTCGCCTGGAACAAGGAGTACAGGTCAGGTCTGGGGAACTTTAGTCCTTGTTTTTTGGTTTGTGTATGAACAAGTGAGATGCTTTTTCTAAATTTAGCACTCCGTTATTTTCTCTTAAAGTAAAAATCTATGTACAGGAATATACTTGCCAGTGCTAGTGCTGACAAACTAGTCAAGATTTGGGACGTGGCTACTGGAAAATGTGATATTACCATGGAGCATCATACAGATAAGGCAAGAGTTACCCGTTACTCTCCCTATTGTAGTTTTATCTCTATGCTATTTGTGAGGATGCATTATAAGAAGCACGGATACGGATACAGATGCAGATGCAGATGTGGATGCGGACATGGGACACGGCGATTTCAAAAAAATGAGGACACAGACACAGCAATAAAATATGTTTTCATATATTTTTATTTGCTATCTAGATTAATATTATATTCACGAACAATCAATATTAACAAAAAGTAGTTCTAATTATTTTATTTTTTTGTTATTATTATTATTAAAAGAAAGTACTTTTAAATTAACACTTACAATTTATATCTTTTTTTTTTTATAGATGATCTATTAAGTATTTAAATATAAGAAAAAAATAAACATTCAACATTCATCAAAAGCACTAAATAAAATGGGAGAAAAGACAACTCAACATGTCCTTAGTGTGTCTCCGAAGTGTTCCCGGTGTGTCCCTTGAAAATAAATTAATTAAATTAGGGGACACACCATGTGGTATGTCCCATACGTGTCCCCGAAGTGTTCGTGCATTACGGCACTTGTTTTGAAGTGTTGGTGCTTCATAGATTACAACACATCTTTTTAATTGTGTCGTGAATTGATGTATTAGAAAATTCCTGTCTCCTTCTTGGTTCACTTGTTAGTTCAGTCATATAGATAACATAATAAAGAATGTTAATAATGAGTATTGACATGTAAAATACTGAATAGAAAAATATTTTTAGTTCTAAGTGGGTTGAATTCAGATTGCACTTTTGCAAATGCTTGGCTAAGGTATAAAAAGAAAAACCAGAAGTCATGGGTAAAGTATTGTTGGAGCCTTTTGGTGTTTGTTCTGGATTTTGGAATGGTGAAAAACCTATGTAATATTGAGTAAACAACACAAATCATGGGAATCATTGTTGAATCAAGTTGATCTTTTACATTTTTTTTTTTTTTTTTAATCGGCAAATGTTAGTGGTTAGTTGTTAGATTAGTACCTACAGGAGAAAATCTTTCCACCCTTGGCAAAGCATCTAAGGGCTTGCACTGCCTTAATTCAACCCCCATAAGGGGAATTGAACCCATGACCTCTTTGGGACTAAGCCCAAAGGAAGGTATGGTGGCCAACTAGGTTAGGCCTAGTTGGTTAAGTTGATCTTTTACATTGATGATAAAGGTGGTAACAATGTTGATGGGGTCTGTTCCTTTTCTTTATGCTACTTGTGGATATTTGAGTGGGACCTATAGTATCAGCATATAAGCTTTATTAAAACTAAATAGTTCTTTAGAATGTTAATGGCCCTCAATCTTTTGACCCCCTGGCTTCATCATTGACTAGTAATATACACAATTACGGAAGTGAATTTTTTGAAACCTAGTTCTCCTTCGAAGTGTCAAAACAGCCAGAACAATTTGTATTGAATGTCACCGGGGTCAATTAAATGTACTTCTCAGTTCCAGCAGTTACCTTCATTTCAGTTTGGTCTGGAGAAGCCATTTTCTTTTGTTAATTTTAAAGATGACTAGAAAGTTTTAGTAGCTTTACCTCATGAGATCTTTAAATAAACTAATTCTGATGGAAGATATGCTTACAGACATCTATGGGTGCTTTCTATTGGCAGTCAATATCTATGATGTAGGGGACACAGTAAAGCTATTGTTCATACTTTTTAAATTTGTAATGGAGTTAGTAATCTCTTTGCAAAATACAATTATACCCTTAATTTCAATTAACATGAAAACTTTTGAAAGTTCTAAAAACGTGTATTAAAACTACAAATTTCACATAGGAACTATGCAGAGGATAATATAAAATATGCAAACTAAAGCATGAATATATAGAAATGTGCATATGTATGGCCATGTCCCAGTGTCTACATTTTTTTGAGGTTTCCATTTTACACTGTCGGACACCTTATATCTGTTTCGGCACTTGTATCTATATCCACAAATTATAGGCTAACAGTTCTTTTTTTCAGGATTCAAATCTTCTGTATTTACTGTCGCAAAACTTCATTTGTTTATAATTTTTATCACCTTGCTATAGTTGATTTTCAGGTTCAAGCCGTCGCATGGAATCATCATGTGCCACAAGTTCTACTTAGTGGATCCTTTGATCGTACAGTAGTCATGGTAATGGAAATGTTTTATTGGGTCTGTTTATTAATTATGAACTTCAAAATTATTGTTTTCCTGCATTTTTCTTTTGTGTGCACGCCTGCGTGCACATTCACTTTGCTAAGTTGCCTTGCCTCTGCATTATTTTGATTAAATTTATGTTTATGTGATTGCAGAAGGATGGAAGGATACCTTCTCATACAGGATTTAAGTGGTCAGTTTCAGCAGATGTTGAAACTGTAGCATGGGATCCACACACTGAGCATTCATTTGTGGTCTGTGTTTACACTATCTATCTTGCGCTATTTCATTTTTTGTTTTCCAAGTATGCAAAGCACATGGGATTTCATTTTGAATTGGGAAGGTTTATAGGATCTTTCTTTTTAAGCACATCTTAATTTAGTTTTTCTTGGAGATGTCCTCTTGAAGCAGAATTATCATTATCTAATTGTGTTTTCAGGTCAGTCTTGAAGATGGTACAGTTGAAGGTTTTGATATCCGAGCTGCTAAGTCTGATCAATCTTCTGAGTCAAAGCCAAGTTTCACTCTTCATGCACACGATAAAGCTGTTTGCACAGTCTCCTATAATCCTTTGGCACCAAATGTACATATTTCTCCTCTATAGACATTTTTATTACTCGACTTCACTGTACTTGCTATACTAACTGTTTGTCCCTCTGTTTTTTGTAGCTTCTTGCAACTGGATCCACTGATAAAATGGTAATTTTCTCTTTCTGATTTTGAGTTTCTGTCTCTTTATTTCTGTTGGCCTCCATATTCCCACAAACCATATATAGTAATAGTAGTTCTTTCTCAATTGGTTAATTTGATTGCTGCAGGTAAAATTGTGGGATTTGTCAAAAAACCAACCATCATGTGTTGCATCTAATAATCCAAAAGCTGTATGTGATTCTTTGAGATTATCTTTTCTTTTCTTTTTCTAAAGAACACACATTATAATTATGACGTGATAATAATCTACATATTTATTAATCTGAGGTGAATTGTGTCATCCTGTTATTAATGTTATCAGGGAGCTGTCTTTTCCATTTCGTTCTCAGAGGATAGCCCCTTCTTGCTAGCCATAGGAGGCTCCAAGGGAAAATTGGAAGTGAGTGGATGTAACTTTTTATGCTTCATGCTTTTGCAATTCTCTCTCTATTTTCCCCTCTAAAAGTTGTGTGGAACGGAAGTAACTTTTTTTTTTTTTTTTTTTTTTTCTTGGCTCATATATGCAGGTGTGGGATACACTATCTGATGCTGGGGTCTCTCGAAGATATGGGAAATATAGTAATCGGAACATATCTTAATCTTTTGTTCTTGGTATTTTCTTTCCTTTCTTTTTTTGTTAGAAAAAACAGAAGAAAAAAAGGAGGGGGATGTTGTGGTCTTGGTTTTTGATATTGAAATAGTATAACCCGGTGAGAGGGTGAGAGAACTGACTAATGTTGCTCTCAAATTATGAAGCCAATTAATTACATGGGGCGGGTTGCTTTTTTCATTTGCAGCTTCCTAAAGGTAATGTATATTTATTGAAGCTTTTTTGTTGTTTTTGTTGTACTGTTCTGAAGAATTGTAATCAACATTAGAGGAAATGGAAATTTTAGAGCAGGAGTGGTTTTGAAGGCCCTGTTTGAGTGTTTTTGTCTCTCAGCTGCAATCCCACTAGATGAAATGTTTTCTAACTGTTGATGTTAAACAAAGTTCAAAGCAATTTCAAATTAGCCAGAAGTGGCATGTGCATATTTTTTTCGCAAGTATGATTTTAAGACACCAACCTACACCTGCATGGACCTCCAATATGGTTGTCCATATTCATCTTTTGGAAGATAGTTCAACAACTCGAGCATTTATCAAGTTGGTCCTGGTTATAGAGATTTCTCATGGTTCATTAAAAATTTGTGTTTTTGCTTTTCTTCTGTATCTGTCTAAACTGCTGGATATAGTGTTGTCATTAGATTGTTAACCTGTCTTCTTCATTGATGTGCAAGTTGGTCAGATCTGCTGCACCCATGCAGACATACACATTTTGTTGGTCTTCCTCAGTCAAAATGCTGTCATTTTCATATGGAGTTGTAGTCTATAAGAAACTTTAGGGTGCAAAATGCTCTAAATTGTCTGGTAGTTGACCTTGATAGCTTTCAAGTAGTTTTGAGACCAATAATGATCCTGTGTCATAGAATGTCTGATACGACTTCGTGTATAATTTATGAGGCTAAAATAGTTTAATTTGGCAACTATCTTTTTTAATCAAAAAGTTAAAAAGTTATTAAAAAAGTCAAAAAATTAACAATTTATATCAAAAAGTTAATGATTTTTTTTTCTCTCTATTTTTTGCATGTCTTTTAGTAAAAAGTTAAAAATTTATCTCAAAAAATATTAATTTTTTTTACATCATATTTTAGTCAAAAAATTACTAAAAAAGTCAGTTCCCAAACAAGGCCAAATTTAAAAAAATATTGTTTTAGTTAATGGTAACTTGTTTATTAATTTATGTCTTAACAATACATTAGTGTAATGGGTCTCACAAATTGTGCTTAAGGTTGATACTTAATATAATAGACAAACATGATAAGAAAATTGTAGGTATTATAACATCATTGTTTTGATTTTGCAATGTAATTAAGGTGAATGGTAAGAAGTCATTGCAACAGTCTTGTTTGCTGTCGATGTTTTTAGCCAATGCATTGTTATCCATCTGTGAAACTTACAAAATTGTTTTAATCTTGTCATTCTCATGGAAATGATGTTCTCGTGTTGTGTCACGGTTGATAGTGAGAGATTGTTATTATTAGGTTGAGAAATATTAATCAAGATTGTGGAATATTGTTGGAAAAATACTTCTTAACTATATTTGTTAACTGGAAAATGATCATTGGACTGCTCGTGTTGTGAGAAAGCAGTTTCTCTTCTTTACGCTGTGGTTGATTGGGGGATTTGGAAAGAGAAATGAAAAATGGAGGTGAAATCTGAATAAAATATACTTATATTTCACCTAGTTTTACACACATTTTCTCTTTTTCTTTCCAAATCTATTATCAAATCTCTCGATCAAACACAGCATTAAGGTAGAGTTTAATTCAATAATCAATATTAGCATCCGTAAATATTGAGCCCTGTTTTCCAAACATGAATTTGGATTAGGAAATTTCTATTTAAACTAGTACACCTTATAATATTTCTTCACTGACTTATGCATCTTTTAATTAAGAATTTTTGAAATTTAGTTTTTAAAATTTATTAATTTGTATATCATTACTCTTTAAATTAAATAAAGCATATGCTTCATAATTTCAGTCATAAATGCACTCTGGGTGGTAGATGTTATTGGTCTGAACAAACTTTCTGGTTGTTGAGTTGTCTTTCCATTTTTGTATATAGAGTAAAATTAAGTGCATGCCAATAAGAATTTATTTAATTTTACTCTTGGTTTCCAAAATTAAAATATGTTATTATGGTTTTTAATTTTTTTTATCCCTAGTAGATTTGTAGCTTTAAGATTTATTCTGAAAAGAGATTATTACAAAATTAAAATTTACCGACTCTTATATCCCAATGCATTTGGATATGAATGGAAATGTTTTTGATTTGGGTTTCAGATAAATAATAGGGTTGATAACGAAGATAATCGCCTTCCTATTCATAAACTTCAGATCAAACACTCTCCAGATTGGGAGGATTCAAAGTAATTTTTCATTTTGAGGAGTGTGTTAATCAAAGAAATGATAAGAGGAATAAAGATTGGTAAGTATGTTGAGATGCAAAGATTTTTTAAGAAGAATATATATTATATATGAATATTTTTGTGCTTTATTATTACTAGCTTTGGTAAATTAAATTATAAATATGTCTCTCTATTTTTTTAATGGCACATGTAAAATTTGTATGGAACAAATTAAGAGAAATAAGTCAAAAAAGAGCGTGACAAATTATCATATCTCGAACTTGAAGTAGGTACTTCATATTTGGATTTTCAATATTTGTCAGAAAAAAGAAAATAAATCTTTGTTGATTATGTAGTATTTTTTTTTAGATGTGTTAAGAAAATGAGAAATAAAACAAATACTGGCAGAGATGTTTACGAAGGAAAAAAAAAAAAAAAAAATCCTTAATTTTTTGCTTACCAAGCTTGAAGCCGATCAAAGAGCCGGTAATGGTGCTTGTCCGGAATCCAATGGGTACACGCAGCAGCACGTGCGCCCACAGAACACAGACCTAGGCGCTATATAGGAAAGGGCAAAAAAAAAAAAAAAAAACTAGTGTCAATTTTAATTTGTGATAAATTTAATTAATTGTAAATTTTTAATATTTTTTAAAATAAATAAATTGAGTCCACTTGAGAGGTTGGGAATCAAATATTGTCAAAGTAAAATTTTAATTTCATTCTTCCCATTATGGATTTTTTTAGTTGTTAAAAAATTAATAATTGTTATTTTAGATTTTAAATAATTAATTTTTTCATCTTATTTAAGGTGTATATGTCTTATAAATTATAAGATTGACACATTTTAAATTAAAATAAATTATAAACAACTTATTTAATCTATATTAATGAGTTGTTTGGAAAGTAATAGATTAGTATATATATTTTACGAAAAAAATGTAAAATATAAATTAAATTTGAAGTGATGTGATGTGATTTAAATAATATGATTATGACCTAAATATAATAATATGTTAAAATAAAATGTGTTATTTTAACACATGTCAAATAACTATAAATACTACTGTAGTTGTGTTCATTTGTGAGTTTGTATTGGTGCACTTTTCTTAAATAATTAATTATTAATTTAAATTTATAGTCTTAATCTGAATCAAGTAAAATTAAAAAATTAAAAAAAAAATTAGAAGGTTAAAAAGACAATAAAGTAAAATGGTAAAAATAAAATAACAAGAAGGTAAAAAGAGTACTGGTACGATAGGTTTTTTTTGAACTACACTGGTACGATAGATTACTCCGCAATAAATTACACCAACAAATATCGAAAATGGAGCGAAATAAACAAAAGAATCCGCGCCTTTATATAACTAACTACCCCTGAAACTACCCCTAAAAAAAAAACTACCCCTGAAACCTCCCCACTGCCTTTTTAACTCTCTATTCTTTTCCTACACACTGTCATGCTGACTTGGAGAGAGAGAAAGCACATCCACTGTGCTGTGTGACTGTTTTAGAGAGAGAGAGAGAGAGAGAGGGTGAGATCAAGCGCATTCGTACTCCATTAATGGATTCAAGAGCATTCGTACTCCATTAATGCTTCACAGCAAGAAAGCGTGACCTGTTGCTTTTTCACGGAGAGTCCTGTTTCAAAATTCACCTAATCAAACGATACACTAAGCGATCGATTTCTTCTCTTCGATGGAACTTAGTCAAGCGACGCTGGAGATCTTCTCAAAGCTTGAGCAGAAGTGGCTCTCTCACTGCGAGGGCAAGAAGACGCGGATTCTCAGCATCGATGGAGGAGGAACCACTGGTTTTCTTGCTGGAGCCGCCTTGATACACTTAGAGGATCAGATCCGAGCTAAAACCGGCGATTCTCATTCTCGCATTGCCGATTTCTTCGACATTGTCGCCGGAACCGGAATCGGAGCTCTCTTCGCCGCAATGCTGACTGCCGAAGACGGAAACGGACGTCCTCTCTTCACGGCTACAGACGCCGTCAAATTCGTCACCGAAAAGCAGTCTGAACTGTATAAGGTCAAACACGTCGGTGTTTTTCGCCGGCAACGGAGATTTTCCGGCACGAACATCGATAAGGTGTTGAAGGAGGCATTGACGAGAGAGGACGGTAAGGTGCTGACCTTGAAGGACACGTGTAAGCCTCTCCTGGTCCCTTGCTTTGATCTCAAGAGCTCCGCGCCGTTCGTTTTCTCCCGAGCCGACGCGACCGAGTCGCCGAGTTACGACTTCGAGCTCTGGAAGGTGTGCCGTGCCACGTCAGCGACTCCGTCACTGTTCAAGCCGTTCAACCTAAGTTCCGTTGACGGAAAAACCTCATGTTTGGCCGTCGACGGCGGTCTCGTCATGAACAACCCCTCCGCCGCCGCCGTCACTCACGTTTTGCACAACAAACGTGATTTCCCCTCCGTAAACGGCGTCGAAGACCTGTTAGTCCTCTCTTTAGGTAACGGTCCGTTAAACAGCACTTCTAGCCTCAAACTCAGTCGTAACGGCGACTGCTCAACGGCGTCAGTTGTGGACATCGTTCTGGACGGAGTTTCGGAGACCGTCGATCAAATGCTTGGAAACGCTTTCTGTTGGAATCGCACGGACTACGTCAGAATTCAGGTGATTAGCTCTGATCGCTGCTGCCAATAGTATTCAACTGTTAATCTGACTTTTATTAATAAATTATTAAATAAATTAATTGACGGCGTTAACTGTGCAGGCAAACGGTGTGGCCAGCACGGAGGGAGCGTTGAAAGGGAGAGGCACGGAGTCGCTACCGTTTGGCGGGAAACGGCTGCTGACGGAGACTAACGGAGAGAGAATCGAAAGTTTCGTGCAACGACTTGTTGCTTCGGGAAAGAGCAGTCTACCACCTAGTCCGTGCAAGGAGACCGCCGTTAGTCCTCTTCTGACTGCCGTTAGTCCTCTTGCTAACGGCCGTTAGTTTTGTCAATGTCTTTTTTTCTTTTTCTTTTCAGTTAACCCCTTGTTCTGTTATAACCTTCCTGGGGTTAACCGTTGTCTCCAGTGCTAAGTTAGATATCCAGAATAATAGTAGTGTCCTATTGAGTATTGCATCTCACTTGCTTCTCTCTTTTAATCCTCAACTAGTTCTAGTTCAGGTATTGTAACAGTATAGTAATTAGATTTTTAAAATGTTTGAACAAAATGATCATGACTGCTGTGAAGGAAGGCCGTACGGTTTAATTTTGATCCAATGAATTCATGGAGGTGTATGTAAGGCTGTATAAAATATTGGCTGATCTGTTAAAATTGTATCAATTTACATTAATTCGTACCGTTTTATTTGTTAATTACAGATTAAATTTTAAAATTTATAATTCGTCTTTAATAATCATTACGTTCCGTTATAAGTAAAACATATATATTTTTTAACTTTTTATGAAATATCAAAATAAAAACGAGTGAGAGAAATTTAAGATGTAAAATTTATTACAAATTAGAAATTATATATATGAAATATATTAAATAAAATTAGTTTGTATTATATATATGAAAAATATTATACAAATTAGTATTGAGCTCGTTTGGAAAGTTGAGGTTTAGGATTTTTTGGCTACAATAGTTACAAAAAAAAATAAAATAATTTTTTTAATTTAATAAGACAAAATATCAGATTCAATCCATAATCATCACATTATTTCTCTCACAAGAAGTCAAAAAAACTAAAAAAAAAATTCAAACAAGACTTTTTAGCCACATGCTAAAATAGTCAAAGAGTTAAAAAATTAACTCATTTCTCAAATGAATCCTATATATGATATAAATGTTTAATAATTGATTAAAATATTATTCAACTCGTCAATTCACTCAAAATAACTAAATCACAATTTATTATTTAATTTATAATTTTATTTTTAAAATCACACTGGATATACCCCAACTGTGTACATCTTTTCAGCCCAAGTCCATTTCCAATTGTGAAGGGGGGGTGGGCATCTAATGAGATGGAGAAAGTGGAAGCTTCCCATTATGGAGAAAAGGCAAATGCTATTTTATCATTTAAGCAATCGGTTACCGTCCGAAGTACAGGTCTATCTATGTTCAGTATAAAAGACTCTTAATTTAAGTGGTATTTTGAAAAGATGGTAAAAAGTAATTTTTTTATTTTTAACTAAGTTTTTTTGGAGTGATTTGAGAAGTTAGTAAAAAAAAATTTTTTTTTTTAGATTAATATTTGTTTATGGTGTCACATCACACTAAAATGATTAAAATATCCTCACCCAACTTAAAAAATTACATCTTATCCAAACCCACAAGATGTAAACATTAAGGGCATGTTTAATTGGGTGAATTAGAACATAGGATTAGGATTATTAATCTGTGAGTCCAATGATCCTATATTTATTTTAACATTTTGGTTTAGGATTATTAATCTAATAGATAATTAATCCAACAAATTCGTAAGATTATTAGCAATAGGGTAGGGGTGGGATTATTAATCCAATGAATATTAATCCAATTGAATAATGAATACCACACTAATTTGATAGGATTATTAATACTTCACTATTAATCTTGTCAATCAAACATGATCTAAGGGTACTTACAAAATTTTCCAACTTACTTTTTGACACTTCCCAAATGAGAAAAAAGGCAACTTGACATTTTGCTCAACCACAAAACGTGACGTTTTTCTCCGGTTCCCAAAAGAGCCCTAAGTATCAAATTTAATTTCGCATTTTATATATTTGTGATACATCAAAAGTATCAAAATTTTGGCACATAAATTTAGTTGTCTTATCATGAATGTGAAGCGAATAAGTGATATATCTTGCCGACAAAAGTGAGGGATTGTGGATGTGGTATAAAATTGTGCATTTAATAATTTTTTTAATAACATTTAATACAAACTTCTCACAATTTATTAAAAGTTCATTATATTAAAATAAACAAAAAAATTTATTAACACTGTATTTAATTGGAGAATTTAGAAAGAAATTTTAAAAGAAAAATAAAAAAATTATGTGAAATTAAGTGAAATATAAATATATTTTATTCACATTTCACCTAATTTTTATTTTTTTTTATTTTTCAAATCATTTTTTAAATCTCTCAATTAAATAAAGCGCAAGTCACTCATCCTTCCCACCCACTAAATGAAAAGTACATACAAAATGAATCAAGTTCACATATTTTAATTTTAAATAATTTTTCTAAATTTATAACACAGTTGTAAAAAAAATTACAACTTAAATTTTAATGTCCACTGTAAAAGGTAAATTTATCACCATGATTTCACATTATAGTGAAGACTTGTGAATTGTATTCCAATTCAGTTGGAAGGTATGTTTGGTAGGAGTGACCTTTTTTTTTTTGTTTTAAACGCAAGGAGTGTACTTCTCCACTGGTTCCTTTCTCTCCAGTATGAAATGGTCCCTAATTTGTTGCCTTGTGTCCTTCCCTTTGCTTTTTAGCCTTTGTGACATATAAACTTGAAATTTTAATGCAATTATTTATTTTATTGCTTAAGTTAGGTAGAATATACCCCTACTCGGTTTATCTTAATCACATAAGGACATTTTGTGACATATAAGGACATATTGTAAGACAATTTTTACGGCTTAAACAAGTGTTGTTTTCCGATTGCCTAATAGGGTTTTGACCCCTTGCTTTGCCAAGCTAGTTGATATGGAAACAATCACAGCATTTTATACCTAACAAAGTTAATTAATATATATATACATATAGTTATCCTATTTATTAATAACTGTCTCTCAAAATAATGCTTGTTTAGAAATTCTGATTTTCAAAAAGTAATTTTAATGAGTGCAAGTTTGCTTTTGTAGCTTTGAAGCAACATGAGAATATCAAATGGTACTCAACATTTCCTTTGGATGTTGGTTGAGAGTTAAATTAGTTAATAAAGATAAAATAAGTTATTTTAATTAATAAGATAAAATATTATATTCAAATTATAATTATTATTTTTTTTTTTTACAATCATAAAATCAATTACAAAAAAATTCAATCATTATCCCAAGCACAACTTTTTTAGTCAAGTTAAAATAATCAAAAAAATCAAAAAGTCAAGCTAGAAAAATTTATCTTTGGCAAGATTCTGATAATGTAAATTTTATCTAGGATAAATCATGCAAATGGTCCATGTAATTTACATAATGTGTCAATTTGATTCCTATTGTTTCAATTTGTTCGATTTTACTTTTTAATTTAACAAATTGTGTGATATTAACCTAATAAATAATGGTTGTTAGGTTTGGCGGACGGAAAAGTCAAACGATTTATCAATTTGGTATATGTAGTTTATACGATATGTTAATTTGGTCTCTATTAAAATCAAGTAAATTAAAACAACAGGGATCAAATTGACACATCATTTTAGCACCTGACGATTTTTCATTCACCAAACCTAACTGCCATTATTTATTGGACTAATATGACACAATCTGTTAAATTGATAAACAAAATTAAACAAATTAAAATAAGAGAATAAACGAGAGACTATTTGGATAATTAGCCTTTTATCTACTACTTGGGTGATTAAAATATCGGGAAAGGCGGTTTGAAGTGCAAAATTATTCAAGGCACAAAAAGGAAAAATAGATCTTGCAGTAAAAATAATCTGACTTAGAACATTTGCCTAATTTGATAAGTACTTTTGAAAATTATTTTGTGTACTGATCTTCCTAATTCTTTCATAAAAGATCTTTCTTATTATTATTGCTCTCTTCCATTGCTATTCAGCCTTATAAGTTAGCTTATTAGCCTATAAGTTCACAAATATGTTTTAAAAAAATTAGTTGGTTTAACATCTTTTTTGTTTTTTGACTTTATTAATAAATTTTTTAAGTTGATTTTTTTTTATGAAAATGGAAGAATGCAAATGAGTTTTGGCTTTTAAGATTTATTTTAAAAAGAAGCTTATAAGCTCTTCTCATATGATTGTTACAAAATATTGATAGTTGTCCCCTTAATTGTTATGAATTATAATTTTGTAGTTTTATATTTATGAAGATATTAATGTGAAATGAGATTGAGGTATATGCTGGGGGTTTGGGGATAAAAAGCCCCTCCAATAATTGCATTTTTTCATTTACCAACATTGACATGAAAGTTGGAGCATGGGATACTCATCTTGTCCAAATTTTACCAATGAAAGGAATGTCTCCATCCCATCCCACCCATTCCCTCAACAGGCCACGTTATTAAGTATTTTAGTAGAACAATGATTTTGGTATTTTAGGATTACATACCTACAATAATTTTTTCGAGAGTACAACAATTGCGATGATCGAATGGCGTCACTATCGACGGTGGTCGAAGGTGGTGATGAATTGTGGGTGATTGTTGAAAAAGGTAAGAAAGGGAAAAATGAATGAAAATGTGAGTGAATAAACTTTTTTTGTGTGTGTTTTCTAAAGTTTAACAAAATTTTGTAATTGTTTACAAACAAAAATAGACACCAAACAAATTTTTATTTTAATTTACAATTTTTTGTAAAAACGTTAGAAAAAATGCTATATGTTAACAAGTTTCTTGTCTCTATTTTATATCACCTCCTACGTAAATACTTGTGATTAGTTCGTTTGTTTGGAAATATCTATTAAATAATTAATGAAAATATATTACTGTACATTCCGATAATTATAAACATTATTCTACTGAAAAACCGATAATATATAACAGTACTCAAAACGTTATCAAACGGGTCCTTAGATTTTAGATCAAGGGAATCATTGATGCTTTATAAGCTTACATAATAATTAAATAATTTAGGTTAATTCACATAATATTTATTACTCCTGTCACAAAGTGGTGGGCAAGCCTAAATATTCTCACTTCAGACACTAATCACTGTAAAACATTAAAAAAAAAAAAAAAACCACATTAATACAGTAAAAGCTAGATTCTACCCTATAGAAGCTCCAGAGCCTCTAAATTAATCTTCCATTCAATTGAGGATTAAATTAAAGATACCTAACAACTAATAAAGATTTAAAAAACAAACAAACAAACAAAATAAAACAAAACAAAACAAAAAAATTAATTACGAGTGTAGTAACCCTTTTCAGTGAAGTAGCCTTTTGCCCTTGCTCATTGGTTTCTTAACAATGCTTATTTTTAGGAGGCGTTTGGTTCTACTTTTAATAAAGTAGATTCAAATATACCTTACTCTCTCTATTTAAATGATTTCATGATAAAGTAAAGAAACCCTTATTAAGATGATACGTGAAGAAGTAGAACAGGTGCCTAATGATTAACGAAAAAAAG